AGGAAAGTCCCAGGATGCAAACGCAGGACCTTTCCCATGTGAGTCCAGTTGTACTACTGCTGCGCCACCATCCCACACTCGAGAATTACTGTCCCATTTAATTATTCTTCCTCCTCCTCCTTTAAATCTGCCAGAGAGCATGCATGCAGGAGACAGAAAGAGAGAGCGAAGAGAGAAAATGAGACAACACCCTCATGAAGGAGGGTCACACTGCAATTTCTCCTCCTCCTCCTCCTGTTTCCCCTCCTCCTCCTTCTCCTTCTTCTTCCTCTTCCTCTTTTTAAAGCTGCCAGAGAGCATGCATGCAGGAGACAGAAAGAGAGAGTGAGAGAAAGTGAGACAGCACCCCTCATGAAGGAGGATCTCACTACAGTTTCTTCCCCTCTACTCATTTCTTTTGGGATTTTGGCAAGCATGCACATGCTCCCAGCATGTTTTCTTTTTTTTTCTTTCTTTCTTTTTTTTTTTTTTTTTGAGAAGTTTTTGCTATAGGGCACGTGCATTCACTGGAGAGACAGGCAGATAGACAGAAAACTTGAAATCACCTCCCAGGGAGGATGGCCGTGCCACAATTCCCTTCTCCTCCATTCTCTCTCCTCTTGGAATTTTGGGCACACATGCACACATGCCCAGCAGGAGTTTTAAGCTGCCACGTCCAGTACTTGACTCATGATCAACTATGTGGGAGTCCAGCAATGTAACCATTACACTGTCTGCTGGTCCCCCCAGCATGTTTTTTCAACCACCAGTTCTGAGACTCAGACTGTGAAATTGGCCATGTTGGATCCAGCCACCTCAAGCATCACACTAGTGGCTGGCTCTGCCCTATTTAATTTTTAATTAATTCTTACCATTTAATCTGCACTTAATTCTTAACCCTTCAAGACAGTTAAGGCAAGTCTTTTTATCACCTCCACTTTGCAAATGAAGAAATTGAAGTTTAGACAGGCTGAGTGACTTGTTCAAGATCGAATATATTGGAGAAAGTTACTGGCAGAGCCTGCCTTAGAGTAAAATATATATGCTCCTGTGAAGATTCTGCATAATCCTAAAGGGGACATGGATTTGTTTATCAGAGTTTGTAATGGGAGAACTAATAGTACCCCTAAAAACTTGAAAGAAGTTGTTTTAACGCAATAATAGGAAATTAATCTTTCTTTGTAATAGACTCCATTCACTTCTATTCTTTGTGCAGTAGTCCCCAACCTCTTCAGCACCAGGGACCAGCCTTGTGGAAGATAAGTCCTCTATGGCCAGGGTAGGGGTTGGTCCCAGGATGATCCAAGTGCTCCCATAGCTGCCATTGTCACACTGCACTATATAATGACACAGTCACACAAGAGCAGGGTTTGTGCTTCTGTGAAAATATGATACACTGCTGCTCTCTCAGGAGGCGGAGTCCAGGCAGCACTTTGAGCAATAGGGAGCAGCTGCAAACACAGATGAAGTTTCACTTGCCTGCTGCCCCATCCCCACTGAATGTTGGGAGAAGGGCCTGTGGCCTAGGGGACGAGAACCCCTGCTTTACAGGTTTTAGCCCTTTCTACCTCTTTCCAGTCCTTCCTGTCTTTTTATCTTCTTCTTCCCCACCCCCTTCCTCTTATCTCCTCCTTTCTCTTTCCTGTCTTCTGTTTCCTACTTTTCCCTCTATCTCTCTTCCTATACTTTCTCTTCTCTCATTTTATATTCCCCTTATTTTCCATTCCCTCTCTCTATCCTTCTTCCTCTTTTCTTCTCTCCCTTTCTGTTACTCCCCATCCCAGTTATTGAAAGAAAACAATTTTTGTAATTGTTTAGTTAGTATTTTATATTCTTAGGAGCCTATGAATAGGGATGTGTAGGCTGAATAGATCCTCTGCTATTTTCACTACAACCAGTGTAACCATTTTTTATCTTTCCATGTCAGATTTCCCTTTAGAGTTTTGTTCTTTTAAAAGTTGGAGAACTAAAGTGCAGGAACCAGTAGATGGCATAATGGTTACATTGCATTGCTGGACTCCTATGTAGTTGACTGTGGTTCAAGTCCCAGACTTGGCAACTTAAAACTCGTGCTGGGTGCATGTGCATGTGTGCCCAAAATCCTGAGAGGAGAATGGAAGAGAAGGGACTGTGGCGTGGTCATCCCCACTCTCCCCAGGGGTGATTTCTTACTTTCTGTCTCTCTGTTTCTCTGATGAGCACATTTGCCCTATAGCAAAAATCTCTCTTTAAAAAAAAACAAACAAACAAACAAACAAAAAAACAGAAAGGAAACCAAAGTGCAAAGTGTATTAAAAACTGTTCAAGTATTATTGTAGGAGTGTTATTAAGTCATTTGAAGTTGAAAGAGTAGAGAACGTGACTTTCCCATGACAGTAACCTGGGGTTTCTCTTACTGTCTTGGCCAAGCTGAATAGTGTGCTAATCTGAACCAATGCAACACGTTTGTATTTTTATAGTTATATTACCAGAAAATATAACTAGTGTAAACAGGTAGTTTCTGATTTGACCACTATAATAAAATAAAGCCAAGGACAACCTGAATCTTAGTTTGATGGCCTGTATTCTTACAAATAGAATTATTCCATTTTTGTATACAGAATGGAGTTAAAATCAATGAAACCATCATGGTGAATAGCTCAAACATGAGCAAAAAGTTGTAAAATGTTTTTATTCTTTAACTTAGATGTCCCCTTCTGAGTATCTCTGAAAGTGGGAAAATTATGTTGAGCAGATTTTTTTTTTTGGTCTACTCAATATAATTTAATTTCACAAACGGCCCTTCCCTTGGTCCATGTGATTTTGACAGACCTGGCAATTATATGATTCCATTACAAGATTAGGACTAGGACCAGCTTGGCCAATGCCAAGATTTCAGCTCTTGGAATTTGGTGAGTGATTCATTAGTGATCTTGACCCAAACATTTTGAGGTGTTTTAAAAAAATGTTAAGTGTTGTTTTGTGTATATGTGAGTTTATGGGGACACAGAGAAGGGCAACAGACTACAAAACTTACTCGTCTAGGGCCACCAGTGACCACCTTTGCCATCATATGACTGACCCAACACGGAAGAGGAGAGTAGACCTGACCTGAAGACACTATATGGATCTCAGCATCCAGCCATAGTTGAAGCTAGCTCCATCACTCAGACTCCCTGTTACAAAAGCAAGTACAGATGGCTAGGGGGCACATGGCCAACCGTGGATTGAATCCTGGACCCGGCAGCTTGAAAATCATGCTGGGCACCTGTGTCCCAAATTTCAAGAGGAGAATGGAGGAGAAGGGATTGCAGTGTGGCCATCCTCCTTGGGGGTGATTTTTTGTTTTCCCTCTCTTTGTCTCTCTCTGGCAAGTCCACATGTCCTATGACTGGTAAAAGAAAAAGAAAAAAGAGGACATTTTAGTTGAACTTTTGTTTACTGTTAATCAAAAGTGTCATGACTATACAATCCAAAAAGAGGAAAAAACTTACTGGTCCTGACTTTGGCAAAGGGGAAAAGCATCCAGTTTTTTTTCTATTATGTATGACATTAACTATGGACTCTTTATACAATGCCTTTTGTCAGATTGAGGAAGTTCCCTTCTAGTTGGCTGAGCGTTTTTATCATGAAAGGTGTTGGATTTTGTCAAATGTTTGTTCTACTTCTGTTGAGGTGATCATGTGGCTTTTATTTTAATTCTGTTGATATGATGTATTAATTGATTTTTGGATGTTAAGTAAGCTTTTCATTCTGGGGTCTAGCCTACTTGGGCACAGTGTTTAATTATCATGTCATCAGAAAAGTCATGACACATTTTTTCATAGAAAAACATTGAAAAATATTTCATGACTTTTCTGTTCTCTTTTTTCTTTTTTCTTCCTGGAGAGGTTTTTGCTATAGGGCGTGTGTGGTCACCAGACAGAGAGAGACATCGAGACAGAAAGCGAGAAATGACCCCCCAGGGAGGATAGCCACGCCACAATCCTTTCTCCTCCATTCTCCTCCCGGGATCTTGGGCATGCACACACATGCACCTGGTATGAGTTTAAGCCACTGGGTCTGGGACTCAAACCGCGGTCGACTATATGGTAGTCCAGCAACATAGCCGTTGTGCCAACTGCTGGTCCCACATCATGACTTTTCTGACAACACAATATTTTTTATATGTTACTGAATTCAGTCTGCTAATATTTTGTTAAGGATTTTTAATGTCCATATTCATAAGCATATTGGTCTTCTTTTTTTAAAAAAGAACTGTTTACTTAATTTTATTTATCATTATTATCTTTTTTTTTTTTTTAATTGTCACAGGGCACATGTGCTTACCAGAGAGAGGGAGTGTAAAAGTGAGAAAGCAAGCCGCCAGGTCTGAGACTCCAACTGTGATCAACCATGTGAGAGTCCAGTGCCTTAACCACCGTGCCACCTTCTGGCCCCTGGTTTTCTTTTCATGATTTCTTTGGTTTTGCCATCAGGGCAGTATAGATTTCATAGACAGAGTTTATAAGTCCTTTTCTTCTGTTCTTTTTGGAAAAGTTTATAGTTAGTATTCTTTAAATGTTTGGTAGAATTCACCAGTGAAACCATGTGGGTCTGGGATTTTTTTGGTGGGTAGTTTTTAAATGATTGATTCAGTCTCTTTACCAGGTCTATTCACATTATTTTCTTGAGTCCATTTGGTAGTTCGTTTCTTCCTAGAGATTTGTCTATTGCATCCAAGCTATGTAATTTGTTGGCATACAGTTGATTATAGTATTCCTTTATAATCATTTTTATTTGTGTTAGATTGGTGGTAATGTCTAATTTATGATTCTATTAATTTCTTTTTCTATTTTTGGTCAGCCTAACTAAAGATTTATTAACTTTGTTGATCTTTTCAAAGAATGAACTTTTGGCTTTTATTTTTCAATCACTTGAGCTCATGATACCGTTTTCACACCAATAAAGATATATTCATTTTTAAATTAGTTTTTCATAATAGAACTTTTAAATATTTATGAAGTATTTACAAATGTTATCTGAACATTTTATTTGGCTAGATTCTCATATGCTTAACACTGGAAATATTTTGAAAGAAAATATCAACAGTGATTCAGTGCTGCCGACCAGTGGAAAATATGATCTGAAGAAACAGCATAGTGTCACTCAAGCCACTCAGACAAGTCCAGAGGTTCCTTGGCCTTCTCAGTCAGTTAACTGTCCTGAGTACTCCTTTGACTTTACTAGGCAACAGGTAATGGAAAAACAATTCAGATTCAGTCATTAAAATAATTAAATATAAGATTCTAATAGTTGAAACATTATTTATTTAACTACTCAGAAGGTATTGAGTTAATAATACATTGTGCCTAGCCACTGTACTAGATTCTATGGTTATATTGTTGAACAAGATAAAACAACTTTAGCACCTTCTATCCTCCTGCATTGGTATCAATATTCTTCTAATTTTTCCTCTCAGATTCATCCATTATTTTAATAAATAATTAATATTTAAGTATTTATACTATTTTTTAATTTAACATTTGTTTAACCATTTTTTCATATTGCTGTATTTGCTTCAGGTTCATTTTTATTGGCTGAGTAATATAGATGTGAATATACCATTGATTCTGAACCTTCCTCTTTTTTTTTTTGGAGAGGTTTTTGCTATAAGGTACATGCATTTGCCAGAAAGACAGAAAGAGACAGAGAGACAGAGAGACAGCGAGAAATCACGCTCCAGGGGGGATGGCCATGCCACAATACCTTCTCCTTTATTCTCCACTCGGGATCTTGGGCATGCACGCACATGCACCTGGCATGAGTTTAAGCCACCGGGGCTGGGACTCAAACTGCAGGTGACTATATCAGAGTTAAGCGACATAGCCATTACGCTAACTGCTGGTCTCTGAACCTTCCTCTTAACATTTGTTCACATTTTAGTTGGTTCTGATGTATTGCCCTTATAAATAAACAAAATGTTCAGCAGACTTTTAATTCTCTGTGATAAAATCACAGAATCAGTTCATTCACCTTTCCAACAAGGGTTCATTGGATGCCCACTCTGAACTAGGGATGTAGAATTGAGAAATACACCATCTCTATCTACTGAAGACCTCAAAGTCTAGTGGGACAAGCGTGTACAATTGGTAGTTGTAACATACTTTGTCCAGTGCTGTGCTGCAGGCTGAGGGAAGTACAGGGACCTATCTAACTTGTCCTATAAAGCAGTAATTCTAATCCAGTACTAAAAGAAGTCTGAGAACTCTGAAATTAGATGTACATATTTTAGTGTATCTGTATAAATGCAGAAAGTCCTTACTTTTATCATTTACTTATACTTTTGGGGTAGGGAATGACTCTAAGAGCATAAAATACTAGCACTAAGTCTTAAAGAGAGGAGGGGAGACCTGTTGGCCATCTAGCTGAAAATGGCTAATTGAATATTCAGCATGTGAGTCAAACTTAAGAGAGAGGTTTGTGTTACATCAGACTATCTGTGATAGCCATAGTCTCAGGAGATGATGAGATCATCTAAGAAAGTGACTCAAATGATAAAGGAACACCAACACTGTTTCATAGAATATAAAAATTTTAGAGTTCTTAAGCAGTAGTAGAAAAAATGAATAAACATGAAATAGCTGTGTTGTAAAAGCCAAAAAAGGAGAGAGGTTTAGGAAGGTAGGGGAGGTCAGCAGTGTCTAAAACCACAAAGGCCAAGGCAACAGAATCACTGTTAGATTTGGAAATTAGGAGTTAATTTGTATTTTGAATTGTTGAGGTCTGAGCTTAGGGACATTTTTAAGTGTTTACAATCTATGTGGACCCTTCCCAGCACTAGGTATTTTTACTATCCAGGTGTCATACTTTTGGATATGATGTAAATAGTCTTTATCTTCTGAAAATAATTCTCTTGTATTCCAAACTTGTCATTTCAGCTCATAGAAGAGAATGAATCTCTTAAGCAGGAACTGGCTAAAGCTAAAATGGCTCTTGCAGAGGCTCACTTGGAAAAAGATGCTCTTCTTCATCATATAAAGAAGATGACAGCTGAATAGCAGGAGTGACAGTGAAAACTCAAATTACAGTTTTGGAGTTAAGAAGGTTATAGTTATATTGCGAATGTTGCAAATTGACTTTCCTTTCCATGAAAAGACAATAAAATGAGATGGAATGTGGTGAAGTGGTGACTATTCCAAAGCCAGCTTAGAAAGTATTAGGTACATACATTACAATCTTTTGGTTGTTTTGTATTTTGGGGTTTATCTCTCTTTTAAACTAGTGTGGTCTAGGGAAGTCGGTACATACTGTAAAATAATTACATGCCTAATGAAAAGATGTCATTTCCTAATTTTGATATCTCATTATAGGCATTTTTAAAAATTAAAACCAAATGTGTTCACACAGATAACTGAATTTATTTCTATTTGTTAATAATTTACTATTATTTACAAAGATTCAAATGCTTTAGGGCTAATGTAAAATAAAAGGAGGCTTATATTTTAAATGTTATTAAAATTATGTACTTAAATCTATAATTATTTAATTACTGTGGAAAGTCCAATCAAACAAATAAATTATATAATTAATGTGTTTGAAAACTGGAAAACCATCCTACTGAACTTAACAAAATAATTTGAAAATGTGAAAAAAAATTTTAAATGATGGATGAATCATGTAAGTTGGGGCAATAATTTTCCAGAAAAAGATGGTACAGTGTAAAAATAAAAAGCACAAACTGTAAAAAAGCAAAATATTAGAGTATATGGCCAAGTGATTTAAAAACAATACTTGTACATTCCTTTAAATGTTTATTGTTAAAAGTAAAAGAATAATTTAACTATCCTGCTAAATTTGGCAGCATTTATATCTATAAAGTTTTTAATTGATACTCTTTATATTATTTCTTTACCTTCATCTTTCCTCTTTAACTTGAGGAATGTTTCCAGAGAATTTTCTTTTCACATACATAAAACAATTTCATACCAATCTTATAGTATATTAGATGGATGTTTGCACATACTAAATTTATAAAACTAGTTTTGATTGAAGTTCTATGTGACATAAATAATCTTCTATAATAATAGTCATTAGTAAATTTTGAATTCTATTTTCTAGGGATTAAGGTTGAAATCAACATGAGAGAGAATCTCAGTCATGCAGTATGAAGTGAACGTTCATGAGTATTTGAGAAACAGGCTTTTAAAGAGACTTAAAATGAATTTCTGATAGAGTTAAATTAAGTGGTATCTATTTTAAAATTTACATTCTTAAACATAAGTATATACAAGAGAGAATGTGAAACAGTGGGACTACTCTTTCTTTTTGATACTTGAATTTTCCAAACCATTTTGCAACACTTTATGGTGCTTTGTTTGGCCTGACATCCATCCATCCCTATACTATATATCTGAGTGTGTGGGGAAAAATACATCATTTCATTTACATGAAGTGTTGGAGTGATTTATTTTATTTTACTTAATATATTTCATGAAAGAGAGAGAGAGAGATAGAAACCGTTTACCCAGTCTTACCATGCTATGGTCTTCCCCTCCATATTGCAGCTATCAGGATCACAGACACACACATGGATGTGCTTGGTGTGTTTGGGTCAACTTGGGATCCAAACCTGGGCTGCCTTTGTGGTACTGGCCTCTCACAGTGGTGCCTTACCACCTGCACCACCACAGCTGGGCCTGATTTGGGTTTTATTAAAACCTATTTTTCTTCTTTATCATCCATTTTCATTGCTATTTCTTAAAAATACAGGTACTATTTTGGGAGCTGAGGATATAGCCAGGAACAAATTCAGTTGTTTATATTTTACCTAAAAGTATTTAAAAAATCTTGTTAAGCCATGTTAATATAAAATTATATAATAGCCTTAAATTAAATGTAAACTTTTAATTAAAGTTTTAAAATGTATAGCATATGTCTTTAGTAGAGAACCTTTGATTTGTAGGTAGATAGTCAGCAAAAGCAGTCTCTTTTATGGAAAGGAAGAAGGATTGATGGGACCTTAACTTCTTCAGAGCTGACAGTGTTTCTCAGGATTGATCTAGTAGTCTATGTAAATTGAAATTTTCTGTGGTATATTATAATTGTCTGGTATTATAGAAGCTAAACATTTTTCTTCTTTTTAAAAATTTGTTTAATTGCCAGAGGGCATGTACTTGCAAGAGAAATGGGGTAGGGGGAGGCATTCCACCAATAGAGCATGATTATGCCACCCTAATTCCTTCCCTGCCATTTTCCCATCCTGTTGGGATTTGGAGCATATATATGCATGTGTGCCTGGTGTGTTTTTCAATCTTCTAGGGCCAGGCCTCAAACTGTAGTCAGACATAGGAGATTTAGCTCCCTTAACCACAAGGTTTACTCCCCCTCCCCCATTCCTTGAAAATTTATATGCTCTTCTTAAGAAAATCATGTGAACAATAGAGATGATAATCTGAGCAGTCTATATGCTTTGTTGGCTTCTTTTAAAAATAAGGAATACTATTTTTATAGACGCTTAAAATTCATGAAACACTTCCAGAAACATTATCTCATGTAATTCTCAACCCATAGTAAAAGTTAAAGAAAAATTTTAAAGAAGACAAATGACTTGACTAACATTACAATTAGTAACCTAGTCTTTTGAATTAAAGCCCAGTAATATATGCTATATATCTTTTGTTTTACTTAGTCATTAGTTTACAGATTTCTCCAGACATGAAGTAAGGAGGGAAAATCACTGTCTTATCTTTTTCTTTTGAAGGTGATTATTATACTTTTAGTATTGTATGTATGTGTGATATATATGTTACCATGTGTGTATTCAAACTACTAATACTTCAAGATAGTGAGACAGTTTTTATTTGATTAAGTCATCCTTAAACTATTTGGCAGTGTGAGAAATAGAAAAATAAATCTATAATAAGCTTTGGAGGATTTTTTAAATGACCATAAATCAGAAATAAAGGTGTCACATCTTAAAAAAATTTGTTATTAAATCTCTAGCAGAGAGATGTTAATGATCTGAGAGCAGAAATGGTAATTGTGTCTGGCATTTTATTTTTTGTATTTGCTTTTAGTTTTGGTTTTAGGTGTTTTTTTCCTTTGTTTTCAATTGACACATAAAAATTGTATATAGTTGTGTATAACATGATGTTTTGATATATGGATACATTGTGGAATGGTGAAATCAAGCTATTAACATGAGGATTACTTCCCATGCTTACTTTTTGTGGTAAAAACACTTAAAGTCTACTCTTTTCGCAATTTTCAAGTGTACAGTATATTGCTAATAACTATTGTCACCATTATGTGCAATATATCTCTTAAACTTAGTTCTTCTAACTGAAATTTTGTGCTTTTGATCAATATTTTCCAACTCTCTTCAACCCCCAGCCTTTGGTAACTCTGTTCTCTGAGTTTGACTTTTTTGCACTCCACATACTCATGTAAGTGAGATCATGCAGTATTTGTTACCCTGTGTGTGGCTTATTTTACTTAAAGTAATATCCAGAAGATTCATACATATTACTGAGAAAAGGCAGGCGTGTTTTTCAAGCTAATGGAACCTAGACTGAAACCATCGGCTATAGAGGATCTGGCTCTTGATGTATAGGGCCTAACCACTGTGCTACAGGGCCCTTATGTCTTCTGTTATTTTTATGATTTGTGGTCTTATGCATAAGTCTTCAATCCAGTTTAATTTATTTTTGTATGTAGGGTGAGATGAGAATCTTAATTTTATTCTTTTGTGTCTGAATAGCCAATTTTCCTAGCACCATTTATTGAGATTTTCCTTTTCTCTTTGTATGTTCTTAGCACCTTTGTTAAAGATCAATTGGCCATGAATACATGAGTTTTCAGGGCTCTCTGTTCTGTTAAATTGATCTATGTGTTTTTATGTCAGTACCATGCTATTTTGAATACTGTACCTTTATAGTGGATCTTTCTGAGCTTTGCTTTTTAATTTCATGTATGTCAAAAGCATTTTGGGGGTATCTTGTGTTCTTCTTTTCTTTTCTTATCCCTATCCTAGTATTTCAAAATGACATGTGATGAACATTATTTTTAGTTAAGCCAAGTATGAGAGTCTATGTATGATCATAGAAAAATCATATGTCGGAAAAACTTCCTAGATATTCCTTCCTCTGTTTTTAATTGTTGTTACTCTGTGCACCTTAGTATGGGAATTATAGTCTAACATATTTTTATTAACCTACAAGGCATTTTACATCTCAGTGAATGGCACTACCATTAACTTGTTTCCCAAACTGGCAACCTAGAAGTCGTCGTATGCCACCTTTCTCTCCCTGTCAGTTCATCACTAAGTCCTGTCATTTTACCATGTAAACATCTCTCAAATTTGTGTTTCTTTCTGCTTCTCACCACTCCCTAATCTAAACTATCATCATCACCTTTACCATGCAGGCTGCAGTTATCTCTTAACGAGTCTTCCTAAATCTATTTGGCCCTCCTCAAGCTCATTCTATATTGCAGGCAAAATTTTCTTTTTTGTTTAAAATGCAGTTTTATTCAAGACAACCCACCTACTACACTCTCTCCCCTAACTTAAACCTTTTCAAATAGCTTTTCAGTGCTGTTAGGATGAAAACAAAAATATCGTATGTGATTTATGAGGTCACAAATATTAGGGCCACTGTCTACTTTCTATGGTAGTTCTGAACATTAAATGAATTAATGTCTCAAAAGATTAAAACAATAGCTAGCACATCATCTATTATAGAAAATACTCAGTAGAGGTTAGTTAATTTTAGTATTATTTAGCCTCATTATGGATCATGTTTCACTTTGTTTTTTTTATCTTCATAGCCCTGAAATACCTGGAGTGAGAATTAGAGTGCTTCATTCACCATAGGATCTTTTTTGTGCTGTTTCTTTGTCTTGAAATACCTATCCTTCCTCATTGCCTAGTTAATTTCTATTTGTCGTGTAGATCTCAGCTTATTATCACTTATTCAGGGAAACATTCCTAATTTCTGTCACAGTATGACCTTCTGTTATATATTTCTACATGACTATTGTACTTCTGCTTAGCATTTAACATCTTTGTAATTTGATATGTATTTGTTTGATTAATGTCAGACACACTAGATTGTAAACTCCATGAGGACAGGAATTGTGTTTTTGTCATTGTTCAATTTTGTATTCTTTATGTCTCATACAGTGCCTGGCACATAGTAGGTGCCTAATAAATTTACTGAAAGAATAAAATGAACGGATGGGGTATCAAGGATGTTTTTCAGGTACTGAATTCTTCTCTCATTTGGAATGAAGAGAAACGGAACATGGGCAGAGAAGTAGTTGGTGATAGTTTTTAAAAGGGGGCAAGGCCAAACTCCTTGAGTCCAAAGGGGAGAAAAGGTAGAGAGGTATAGGGTAAGAATATTTGCCACAGTGTGTTTAGAATTTTGAATATCTCAACTTAGTTGACAAGTCACAAACAGAAGATTAGCACATCACTTCATGGTACTGCTCCAGTGTCAGAATGTCATCTGCCTTTGATTGTAGTATACGATGTAGTGGCTGTCAGGATCCACCAACCCTATTAGCTAAACACAGTGGAAATAAGGCTGAAAGAGTAGTGCCTGAAGTAATTTTTCTTTGGAAAATTGACTGATACTCAGAATTTGTGCCTAATTTCTTCAAGTGGAAACAATCTAATTTTTGCTTATTCCTAGAGATACTATAGAAAATAAAATTTGAAATATAGTTTAATATTGCTTTTATAATATATATAATACCAAAAGTAATACAGTATATAGAAACACTAAAGAAGTTTTATTGATTGATTGATTAACTGATTGATTGACTGCCAGAGGGCACATGTGCTTGCCAGAGATGGGGCATGGTCATGCCAAGATCCCTTCTCTACTTCCTCACCCTATCGAGATTTTGGACATCCAAACATGTGCATGCACAGCATGTTTTTCAGGCTGCGGAGCCAGAATTCAAACCACACAATCAGCCATGTGGGATCTGGCTACCTAAACCACCAGGCCATGGAGCCAGCCCAAAGCAGTAATTTTTTTTTTTTGAAACACCAAATTAATTGAATTATAATACTTGATACTTTGGGGAGGGGGAGTTCTTGAGGTGGTCTTTGTTAGAGGTACAAAAATTAAGGTAACATGAAGCAAAAAAAATTTTTTTAATAAACTATTAGGTATTATCCAATGAATTATTGGGAAATGGAGGAAATTTTATGTTAATTTTAAAATATTAAACTTAAGCATATGTTGATATGTTATTAACACTACTGTCTAGTCTTGGGTTTGAGAATTTGAAACTTGTTGAAAGAAAGAATATTAAATATGAAAGCAAGATAATGTCTTTTTTCTGCTTTATATATAAGACATGTGTAATAAATTTTTGGTCCTAGAAAAAAATATCAATTACCATGAAGAGTAATCCGAATTTTTTAAAATTCTGAACTCATTTAGACGAAAAGGCAATGTGTTTGTGTTATTAGTCAAAAGTAAATTTGTTCTTTACCAATTACACTAAACTTTTAAAATAGTAAGTGAATTTCTCATATTCTTAACTTAATTCCTCAATATGTTTAGAAATATTTAATCATCATGGAAGCTAGGACAGTACAGTTAGGTGAGGTGACTAAAGTCACAATTATTCAGCAGAAGCATTTAGATTGGTAAGACACAAAAAGAACTCAAATACTAGACCATGGATGTCATCAAAAATAAGTGAGAACTTTTTAAAGTAGACACATGTAAAAAGGTTTGGATGAGAAAAGGAGAGATCAAAAGTATCCTTGAAGCATATGGGTGAAGTAAATGTATAGAGGTATAATATAAGTCTGTCTTTCACAATGTTTTAAATCATTCCAACTGAAAAAAAATACGTTATAATGAGAGTAGGAGCAACGACTCTATTTTTTAAATTTAATGTTTTTTTTTTTTAAATATTTTTTTATTCTTGAGAGAGAAGCACACTCAACAGAATTTTACACCTCAATCCTCCCACCAGCCTTTCCAGCCAGCCAGGAACATGGGCACGAATGTGCATGCCTGGCACGTATAGGTTGACCTGGAAACCAAACCCCAGTCTTCCATATGGCTCCAGCATTGCAGGATAGCTCACTACTATTGAACCACCACAGTAGGGCCAAAGCAGGCACTTTTAAAAGTAACTGTAAATTTAAGTAAATGTGTTGAACAAAATTTTAATAGTTAAGCACTTGAAAAAGATCTGTGATGAAGAATTAACTTAGTGTGTGTATCATTTGCATTAAGACGTGCAGTCAAAAAGGGGGCATATACAGAATTTCTTCAACTTTACATAAAAAGCATTGGCACATGCCATTCAATTTTTCAATAAATGATGTACCCATAAACAATTTTGACACAAAAACTGAGTTTAGACCCTCACTATTATTGGAGATATTCTACTAGTGTACTGATAATATTGGAGCAATTTAGTGTTTGGTTTGAGTTCAATATATTTGCCTTTTAGTTCTTCTTAGCATAATTGGCATAGGTATATGATACTTGTTTTGCTGTGGTTTATTTTTACCCTTGCCATTCCTTACTGTTAATCAAGTTTTCAGTACAAATCATTAGAACCATTGAAGGCAAGAGTTCTGAGAGGGGTAGAGAATGAGCAAGTTAAGCAACTTAAAAAAAAAAAAAAGAATTATTTATTTATTTAATTCCATTTGTTATTTTTATTTATTTATTTTTTTTTAATTTGACCAGAGAGAGACAGAAAAGAGAGAAAGGGAAAGCCAGAAAGCAAGCTGCCAGGTCCGTGACCCAAACTGTGGTTGACCATGTGGGAATCCGATGCCTTTAATCACCATGCCTCCTGCTGGTTCCAAGTTAAGCAACTTTTAGAAAATGTTTCTGGGCTAGCAGGTGACACAGAGGTTAAGGCAGTTGGATCCCACATGGCTGACTGAGCAGTTCATATCCCTGACCTGGTGTCTTGAAAAATCACTCCAGGTGTGCATGCCCAAAATCCCAAGAGGAGAATGGAGGAGAGGATTGCAGTGTGGCCATCCACCCTTGGGGGTGATTTCTTACTTTCCCTCTCTCTATCTAGTAAGTGCACACATCCTATAGCAAACCAAATAGTGGGTTGTCAGAAAAGTCAGTACATATTTTTCTATGTAAAAATGAGTCCCGACTTCTCTGATGATCGTGTGTGTGTGTGTGTGTGTGTGTGTTTCTGTGTGTGTTTCTATAAACTTCCAGAATTTAAGACATTCTCCCTTAATAGTCAATCTAAAAATATGTCAAGGCCAAGTATAACTTTATTAAAAATGTTAGGTTTTCTTTGTTTTAGCACAAATATTTGGAAATAATGACTTAAACAGAGACGGCAAACAACCTTTTGTACCCCCAAATATCTAAGCACATAGGTTCGTTTGACCTTTATATGTAACCACTTGTTCCTTATTTACCTCTAATAATTACACTCAGATCCCCTAGCAGACCTCCTTGTATAACCATACAATTCCTTCCTTTGATTCTCATATCAATGTATAATCCAGCTTTATGCCTGTGGCAATATTTTGTCCTTTTCCAGCCTTTCCATGCTGATAATCCTAATATTTTCTTTCAGGATATGCATTTTATTGTCTCTTTGATAAAAAATACGTGAAAACTGGGTGTTCTTTCCCTTTTATAACCTACTGATGTGCCATTTGTTGTTCAGTTGACCATTTTCATTTCATTTACTCTATGAGTTTCCTTTTGCTGCCCTAACAAATCACAAATTTATTATTTTGCAGTTCAGTAGGTTACAAGTTCCCAGCATGGCTCAGCCAGGTCCATTTCTTAGAGTCACATAAGGCTGAAATCAAAACATGTCAGCAGGACTGCATTCCCTTCTGGAAGCTTTGGGATGAGTCTGCTCTGAGCTCATCAGGCAGTTAGTCAATATCAGTTCCTTGCAGTTTTTGACCTGAGAGCCTTTTTCTTTGCTGGCTGTTTTTCAGCTGGAAATCATTCTTAACTTTGAAAGACTACCCACATTCCTTAGCTCTCAATCTTGTTCTTCCATCTTCAAAGTCAGCCTCAGCAGGTCAAGTCTTTCTTACACTTTAAATTCTTCCGACCTCCCCACTTCTGTCTCATCTGTTCTGCTGCTACCTGGAGAAAGTTCTCTGCTTTTAAGAGCTCCTGTGATTATATTGAGCCCACTTGGATAATTCAGGATAATTCTGCCATCATAAGGTCTAGCTGTAATTACATCTGCAAAGTATTTTTTTGGGGGGAAGGGGTCATGTAACGTAACACACAAGCTTTAGGGAGGGAGGTAAATATCTTTAGGGGCTATTCTGCCTAACACAACCTTCTTTTACTTTTGATTCAAATTTTGGTATAAACGTTTATACTCTCAAAGGATTGTTTGTCTCGTTCTTTTTTATTTTATCTTGAACTGATTCCATTTTGTTTCGAAAATGTTCTTGTTCAATCTTCAGTTTGCCTCAGTTCTCAGCTTATCTTACCCTACTTTTCAGCAGCATTTGTCACAGTTGATCATTCCCTCTGTTTGAAATACTTGCTTCATTTAACTTTGACACTCAAGACCTA